AGGTCACCAAATACCAAAAATAATAATATTTAACAATATTGTCTTTGTATAGAGCATTACACTTTTTCGCATTGATGTATCTTTGAATCATCTTTGGGAGCGCCACATAACTTGAATGGTCTCTATTTCTTGGATGCAGATTATTGGGTCAGGTCAATGGTTTGGAAGAATCTATCAACTATCAGTATGCAATTATGTCTTGTGTATGAATTTATGTAATACATTCACAAAGATAAAGATGATACAAGTGCATCTTTACATGACCTTGAAATTGTTCGAAACTGATTAGCCAATATCTGGTTTAAGGTCTATGAAATTATATACAATAATCTACATTGTAATTATACTTTTTTCAGTTTTTGGTTAGAAAGTGAGTTCAGTAGATGATAAGATGAAATAAATGAAAATTGCTAGAAAAATAACAGCGTATATGATAATATAACATCCCTAATTTTAATTGGAAAATTAAATGTATACTGTCAGGTCATTAATGAGAAAAGCTGAGATATAATATAAACAATTCAGTCATAAAGATTGTCTATGCTATCTTTGAACAGCTAAGGTTGAGAACTCACTATGCACTATGGCAGTGTTGGTCCGATCGCTGTTTTAATTATTGCTCCCTGAAAAATCTCGGGGCAAGCAATGATAGTCGGCGCTTGCATGTCCTGATCTGTCACGTCTGTCCAGCACTCACAGCACATATTTATGTGTGACTTAAGAGGGACAATAGGTAACTGTTTGCTTTCCTATTTCCGTAATGCTTATGTGGCTATTTCTCTTCTTGTGTAAGACTAAAAAGTACAATAGAAGAACAAAAGAGGAGTCACTAAATTACCTGTCCTGTTGAAGAACATCCGTTCAATAGTCGTCCACCTTAGTCCACTTAGGTCCGGGACACTAACTTGAAAACATTGGAACTATTGTTTACACTTCACTACATGTAACGGACGGGCATGGAGGGGAGTGGCGCTTTCACAAGAACCATACCTATTATTGCCCACCGGTTTATTGAATTATCCCCCTTAAGAGAAAATCTTGTCCAGGACATAACTCTAAAACTAAAAGAAATATCAACATGAAACTTTGTAGGTGAATAGATCTCAATGGGTTGATGTGCAGTGCAGAGATATCAAGATGAAACATCGTAGGTAGATAGATCTCATTGAGTAGAATTGCAGTGCAAAAGAACCATAACTCTGTTAAGCCTCATTTTTTAATTATCTCCCCTTTTAGAAAAAATCCTTGTCAGGACATAGCTTTAAAACTATAGAGAGATATCAAATGAAATTTGTAGGTAGATATATCTCAAATGGGTAGATGTGAAATCATAACTTCTGCCTTGCATAATTCTGGTGTTAAATTTGCTCTTTTGGTTTATTTTTACTTTTTTGAAGTTTTGGTCCGGGAAACCTTACCATAAAGAGATTATCAACAAAAAACTTTGTTAGGTTTGATAGATCTCATTGATTTTTTAGAAAGTGCAGTGCAAAGACTTGCCTTTAATTTTGGAAAATATTTGCACTTTTGAACTTTTTCCAGGGATATAACTCTGAAAACTACATAGAAGGTGTAACATTCCCTGTGTCCAAAAAATTTCGGGGGGGAGCATCAAACCCAGGGCTCAAACCCGGGCTCTTGTTAACTTGGTAGATTATTAACCATACAATGTTTACAATGGAATGTTCCGAATTTTGTAGCTTGACAAGTCCAAATTTTTAAGCAAAATTTAAAGGGATGATAACTTTAATTTTTTGTCAATGTGACTATAGAAGTGAATATTTTAGGTTTTTGATTTCAGTACTTTAGAAATATCATGGTAATAGGTGGTGGTTGAAGGTCAGCACTTATTTGGAATGGGTAATACCCCCCAAATGGATATTTGGACTCTAACTCATATTTAAAAACTGTTAGACGTCATGAAGTCAGAAAGCAAAAATTTCAGGAAGGTTTCTATTCTCACTGGTTTTTAAGGTTTGTAAAATAACAAATTATTGTTGTATTCTATATTTTTTGTTTTGTTTTTTTAGAAAGCTTATAATAAAGTACTTAAAGATATAATAAGTAGAAAAAACACCTTAAAAGAAAATCAAGTTATTGCTCAAAGACATGTACAAAAATTTTTAAGAACTTTTGGTTCTTTATCATTTTCAGTTCATTTGGGCATTTGTGAATGTAAGAGCTACGTAATAGGGCAAGCAACATTTTACTTCTTTTCCAGGATAGGTTTATAATTATTACATTCAGTTGTATTTCTACTTTCCTTACAATTGAAAATGCTCTAGTAAATATTGTATATTTTACATCTAACAGAAAAAAGTGTTATCAGCAATAATAAATGAATGTACTTAAAAATTGATATGGTTCAAATAGTAATTGTAAATTTAAGGGGCAAACTTTTTATCAAACCCGTTTTTAAACTGCTGATGACTTTTTTGATAAGGGTGAGCCCATTAAAAAAGCTGCATTTTTAAGGGGGTTTCCCTTTGGTTTTAAAGGCTTTCTGGTTTGGGTATTAATAATCTGGAAGAAAAAAAGGGGATCCTCTAAAAGTTTTTAAAATTTCAGAAAAAATTAAAATAAAAATTGCAGACTGTTTAAAGTGAGTTTTTAACAATTAAACTAGAAAATATAACCTTTATTGTAAACTTTAATAGCGGGATTTCTATTTAAAAATTAAATTCCCTTTATCTTTGTATAGGAAAGATTTATTGTTTCAATTTTTTTGTTATGAAACAGGGAAAATAAATTTGTTAAGTTTACTACAAAATAGAGAAAAATGATGATAAGCGGGAAATTTTTGGGCTCTAGGGATATCAGACCACAAGTGCTGTACAGGTAAAAAATCTTTGGGTTTTTAGTAATATTTAATTTCAAACATGTATTTCTGTTGCCCTCTAAAGGCTTAAATTTTAACAAGAATTCTATTTATTTTTAGGCCCAACTAGGAGTTTTGATTAACAATTTTGCAACCTTTAACTTTTTAATAATTTGTGCAAGAGGATAATCCAACTGTCTCTTGGAAAATGGCAATTGTTTTTTATCGGCATAAGTAGAAAGATTTGATAGTTTGTTTAAATTTCATTAGAGTGATATAATTTTTTTTTTTATTTAAAAACGTGTTTAGTAATTGGGTTTTTTAACAATTATAAGATTATGATTTTGATATTGAACTTTCAATTGATGGTTTAAATAGTAAAAAAAGCTATAACATAACGGTGCTATTTTCATGGTTAGGGATAATATATGTTAAGTGACAAGTCTGTCTTAAAAAAATCCATCTAAGGGGATGCTTGAGTAAAATTCCCTAGTCATATATAAAACCATCCATCATTGGGCCAACACTTCCTTTTAAAGATGATTGTATGTAATAAAGTTTTAAACCTTTAGAATGAATGTCAACACACGTTATTTACTGTCTTAATTCTTTTAAAAAAGAGAACTGAAACTTATTAATTGTTTATATTTATACAGTATATCAATGCCTTGAAGGACAGATGAAAGAAATACAAAGTTTTGGGCCGGACCAACAAGATGCAAGACATCTTTGCGCCCCACTTACCCTGGAAAATGCTGCGAACAATGTTGCCAAACGGAACTTTCTTTAAAACCTTTGGTATGCGTTGGGCCTTTTCTTTTTGTGTCGCCTCTACGGAGTAGTGGCCGACATTAGGGATCACTTCTCCGTCGTCCTGTCTGTCTGTCTGTTCGTCTGTCCGTCCGTCCGTCACATAAACTTGTCCGGACTGACTCCTCATAAACTACTGGTTTGCAATTCATCCAAAACTTTACAGGAATGATGCAGTACCAAGTCTAGTTGTGCATATTGTCAGGATTTTCCGGTTCACTGATTTTTGTCAGAGTTATGGCCCTTTAATAATTTTTTAATTTTAAAGTTTGTCCGGACTAACTTTCTTATACCACTAATGCAATTTCAATGAAGACTTTGACAGGATTGATCTGTAACTCAAGTCCTTAGCGCATATTGGCAACTGGTTTTCCAGGTTGAATGATTTTTGGCTGAGTTTTGGCCCTTTGGATAAAAGGTTTTCTATTGTATTTCTGTGTGTTGCCAGATACACAAGCTTAAAGTCCGGACTACTTCTCATAAACTCACTGGTGGCAATTTCATCCAAACTTTACAGGAATGATGCAGTACGTAAAGTCTAAGTTGTGCATTATGTCGCATTTTTTCGGTTCAATGATTTTTGTTTGAGTTAGGCCCTTTAATATATTTTTTTCTTTTTACAAGTTTGTCAGACTAATTCTCTTATACCACTTATGCACAATTTCAATGAAACTTTACGGATTGACTGTAGCTCAAGTCCTTGGCGCATTATTGCACGGGGCGGGTTTCGGAATTTGAGAAGATGATTTTTTTGGCAAAGTATAGTTGGCCCACTTATTAGATAAACAAAAGTGTATATTTATCTCTGTGTGTGTTGCCAGATTAACTCGCAAAAGCTTGTCCGGACTAGTCTTCAACTCAAACTACTGGTGCATTCTCCTGCATAAAGAGCTATGGTTGCAATTTTATCCACTTACAGGTAATGATCAGTACAAAGTGGTTAGTCCAGTTGTGGCACTGTCCGTCTGTTCTGTCGTCCTGTCCACAAATTTGTCCCATGACATGTAAATTGCCAAGTCATGAGGCGACACAGGGAGATCACTGCAGAAAATGTGATTACTGATCGACTCTTGTTTGGTGTAATGAATAAAAAGTATATATTTAAATGAGCAAGTAACTATTTGAACTATCCAAAAATTAATTAACTGTGGAAAAAATTGATTCATATTGTAAATTCAAAAGAAAAAAAAAATCAGAAAAAAGAAAATAATTTGAGAGGCCTATTCTGATAACTGACATTTTCCCCTGAAATATTCTCAAAGAGGCTTGAACCTTTAAAGGGCATGCAAAGGACTAAGAAAAGTTGATTTATGCAAATTCTTCTTTCATACGCAAATAATGAACTATGTTATACCACATTGTTTTTGTTCAGGGTATTTATCATTGATTCCACTAGAGAAAGGACAGCAGGGAGTTACTGAAGATTGCCGAGGCTTTTTATGTTCACAGTGTACCAGTCAGGATTGGTTTAGTGTTTGCTGTAAACTCGGCCAAGGAAGTGTGCGGGTATGTGACCCAGCAGTGGCCCTGGCGTACGCCTTTGGATTATATAAGAGACAGGAGGGAAGATTCCACCTAAAGCCTTGACCTTTATTACATGATGTAAAGTCCAGTTTCTTTTATATTTGTTGTGAAACTATTGTCCAACTATTGTTAGAGGTATTCATGAAAATCTATATCAAGTTATGTTGTATTGATTGAAACCTTCATACTTTCTTGAAAACCTTCAAACTTTCTTGAAAACCCTCAAATTTTTCTTGAAAACCTCAAAACTTACTTGAAAACCATCAAACTATTTTAAACTTTCTTGAAAACTTTTTAAAATGTCTTGAAAACTTTTTAAATGATTTTAAACACATTGCAGACTTATAAATTGGTTTTAAAACCTTCAAATTAACAGACTTTTAATACTGATCTGGAAGTCTTCATACTAAAAGAAATGTTTAAAACGTTTATTGAAAACTGGCATAAATTTTCATTTTAAATGTACAAATGTCTGAAATGAGCTATAGAGCTAGCTTACAGAAGGTTGGTGGTTATAATTAGGTGCCTGTTTGTGCCTGAAATATTGCTACTGCATGAAAGAGGCATCTGAAGTCTTCCTCCACCAGTAAACCTGGAATTTGACCATATCATCACCTCAGTGCGGTAACAGACCAACTCCTCTTTATTATTTAATAGGAGTTAATCTATTAATACTGCACTGAGGGGACAAGATAAGCCTTCAGGGTTGATGTGACATACAACCAAAAAATAACTTTCTTTTCATCTTGAAATACTAATGAAAACAATCAATCTGATGGTGATGTTAATTAAATAATTTTGTGTCCTGTAGGTTTATGAGACAGCCAAGTCTGATGATATTACTGTAGATATGATAACAGCCGAGTTCAAATCGCAGTTTGCTGATGAAGAACTTGATAAAGTGTTTGGGAAAAACTCTGAGTATGATTATGTGAAAAAGGTATGTACATTGTATTTTATATATTTGAATTAAAAATTCCTGTACAAGTCATTTGCTATTACTGAGTTTAATGTAGTCTTTGGTGACGGAGTCCTTTGTTTCTTGAATCTTTTTAAATTTGGAGTTTCTGTGGCTGAGTGGAAGTCACTTAACCTCTCATCACTGTAGGTTTGAATCCAGTGAGAGACTTTAAATTCTTTGATCTGAGGAAGCTATCGTGCTAGCTAACAGAATGAAGATTGTTCTACTCGGGTGTCAGTTTGTACCTAAAATATTGCTCAAAAAGGCACTTGAAGTCTTCTGCTTCCAGAAAAACCCATAACAGTGTTGGTGAAACATAAAGTCCAAAAAACAAATCTCTTTAAATTTTTTTACATAAATTTGACTTGGTAAATCTTTTGAGTTAACTATACATTGATTAGTTTGTCAGTCTGTATGTACAATTTTTTTTCTCGATATTTTGTTTAAATAAACAATGAAAAATGTACGTACTTGTAGTTTATCATTCAATCCAGGGTATTTTAATTTTACAGAGTAGTGGAGACTTCTTGTCAAGGTCAGGTCTAAGTGACTTCCCCCAGGTTTTATTGAACGGTAAACCATTGAAGAAGAGTGATTTGAACCAGGACAACTTTGAGGAAGGGGTTATTTCAGAAATCATGCAATCTACCCCAGAAATACAACAAAATGTCTATCAGGTGCAATGTTTATTCTAATTAAATAAAAACTGTGTGTATTTTATTAAAAGCATGTTGTACAATTTCAAGTTATATTATTTTTCTCAAGTAGAACTAATTCAAGAGATTTATGAACTGTACACCATGAATGTGCAGACTTGCCTGGCTGTATACTGGTGGCAGATGCTAATAATTACTTTCCATTACAGCAGGAAAAGTATTGTATGCAATTAATACTATGAGCATTTGTATCTGCAATAGTTTGTGAAGAGGCACTTGGATTCTTCCTATTTAAGTCACAAATATAAGATGTATGTGTCTATCAAACTTGATTATTACGTAAATGTTTAAATCTTTAGGGAAGTTTGCACATGGGTCATAATGATTCAAAATATTTATACTTTACAGGGAAGATTAAATGAGGGTCATAATGTATTGGAATGGCTCATGGAGAAAGATAATGTTTTACCTAGACTAAACTCCAGGGTGTTGTCTGGTCCATCAAAAACTCTCGACCTTTCTGAGAATATTGGTATGACATTTTCTTCTTTTAACCACATGCGTTCGGCACATTTGTTTTGCCAATCATGGTAAAATTATCATAAAATAATCTCCCCTTGATCATCATGAACAAAATTACCATCCAGCACCTGTTTACTGTATAATATGATAATGTAAAGTTAATTGCTCAAGGAAACAATGACTTGCTTCTGACGGGGTTTGAACCCATGCAGCTAGCAATCATTAGCTTACTAATCTGACGCATTAACCACTCGGCCATGTAGCCACATCATATCAATCATTTGATACCTATTCATATTTATTTTTCAGAGTCAGGTCTGTCAGAAGATTACAGTACCTTTGAGATTTTGACATCGAAGGATATGAGTGCAGTTATGGCTAACAGCATGAAATATTTTTATAGAAATGGTAAATATAAAATGAGTCACACCTAGTAATAATGGTTTATCATAGAATATTATGGTTAATTTGAAAATCCATGATTTTAAGTATCCTAGATTGATAGTAGTTGTGTAGAGCAAAAATTTCTTTAGTTTAAACTTATTCATTTTATTGAGATTGTGTTGGATTGAACCACTCTCTAATCTGTCCCTGGAACCAACCAGTATTAAGCAATGATTGTAAAATTTCTTGAACTCTGAAACAACAGCTTGCCCCTAACGAGGTTTGAACCCATGAAGCCAGCAATCCTTAGATTACTAGTCAGATGTTACACTATTTGGCCATTCTGCCACTCTTTTTAGAGCATAGTGTGGGTTTTTTTGTATGACAACATTGATTAAAATTTAGTTTGATTTAATGATACAAGCAGCATGTACTATTGTTGATATTGTCATTTCCACTTGTCTGCTTGTAATTATGAGTAGTATTTTAGAGAACTCCATGCAGGATGAGTAGAAAAATGTTGCCAGCACATTGGATTTAGTAGCTACTCGTCCTGCACGATGAGTGTCTCTTAAAATATTTTTCAATATCTGTCATTGTAATAATCAGTTAGGTTTGAATGTATATTATAGATGAGAGTAATATATATCCAGTGTCAATGTGGCTTGTTAGCGATCTACAGACAGAGGCTGGCAGAACCTTGGCTTACTCCGCCCTTAAAAGACTTGTAAGTTAGTTAAAGATTTATTGTCATTACTTAGTTGACTTCGTAGTTGAACAACTTTTAGTACATTATGTCTAGAGATAAAATGTTTGTTAAAACTTATTTTTATACAAACTTGGGACATATAATGTTTTTTGTCATGAAAAAGAGACCAATTCATGAGTTGAAGTCCCGATGAGTCAAAGTTTTTACCCAAGTCCGACTTACTGAAGTTCTACTGTAATTTCATGTCCACTGTTTATCTTTTTACGCAATAGAAGGAAATAATGTTAACTTAAATGAGATAATATACAAAGTCAAGATTTGACCTTCATATCAAGGTTAAGGTCAAACTTATTATAATGACCTTCAAAGTCTTCAGTACTTAGATTTATTGTTCATGCATAGTTAACCTTTTCCCTTATATAAGCGTGTTTTGACGGCTTTTTGTCCCCCCCCCTTTTTAAGGCCTCAAACAGTGAAAAAAGCCCTTTTTATGCCCCCGAACACTGTTTTTGTTTGAGAAATGTTGTTAAAAAAGTGACCTGATTTTCGGCGCGGCCCCCATCAAAATAATACATTAGGGGGTTGCCAGAAGGGGGGGGGTTTGAAGGGGGCGGTAGTCCCCCTCATTGCCAAGAAAATTTTGGACATGTGACAGGCTAAAAATGGCCTCAGGTCGATCTTATGGTGACGTGAAACCAACGCTGAAAAGCCTTTTACTCTATCTCATTGCATTGAGGAGTTGCAGCACTTTGAAAACAGTTTTGATGGAAAAAAACAATGCAAAAATAGTGATTTTTCACAATTTTGAGACGTCTCCCCATTGCCATGGTAACAGGAATTTTAAGATTGAGCATGTTGTTACAGAGGTTGTGGTTCAGTTAACATATGTGCCAAGTTTCATCGGTATTGTAAGGGACTGTGAATATTATCAAATAATTTACTTTCAGGACCTTGTAATGGATATATCAGTTTAAAACAAACTATGTTTTATGACAATTTGAACATCAAACTAGCATAATTTATTGACAAATGAGGTAATACTTTTCAGTCAATGCTTAAAACTTACCTGCCAGGATTCCTGAACTTTACCTGTCAGGATTCCTGAACTTGCCTCAGCCATTCATATTTGCTGATTTTATTTGTTTAGATAATTTTCTGGTAAATGAAGGAATTAAGACCATGAAATAGGACATTCTGAGGCTCTTGGACTATATAAGGCACACTAAGAAAGTTTATACTTCAAGAAATGATTAATTTACTACTTTGTTTATCCTGGCATCAAAACGGCCGATAAGAGTTGTCTACCTTGATTCAAAACTTTAAATGCATTTATTTTCATAAACATATACAAATACTTATCATTTTACATGTAAGAACATAGAATGTAATCCATATTTACCTAAGACATAAGTTACTTTCCAAATAGTTAGCTGGCATTGCTGTATTTTATAATAATCTTGATGACCGGTATGACCTCTAAGTTTGTCAGGAGGGAAAATTCAAATTCCTGGCACTTGGAATCTTTTTATATCAATAGTTCATTTTTTAAGCTATAACCATGATTGTTTTTGGTCCAGATATTAAGTGCATCAAGTTAAGCATGTAATTCAAGTGTTTATTGCATATTTTGTTATTAGTTAACTTTGTTAATTTACATTTTTCTAAATTATTCCTGTCAATATGGCTGCCATTTTAAGAAGTTCCTGTCTTTCCTGCCAGACTGCCAGGCCAAATGGAATGTAATGATTGGTCAATTGTGACAGTCCTGGCCATTTCAGAGTCTATATAAGTAGCCATGACAGGCTGTTTTCAGTTTGCATTTTGGCTTTAAATCCTGACAGTCGCGAAAACTAGTGACAAGAGCATTTTGTAATATTTTCATGGAAACTTTTATTGTTGAATCTAGCAAATTTAGTGCTCTTCAGAGTTGAATAAAGAAATTGTAGAATAAACCTTTTATCAAAAGTTGTTATTTGAACAGTTTTTGACTTAGCTTACATTATTGAAGCATTTTTCATAGTTTTATAGCAGTTTGAACTTGAAACAGGAGACTTTTCAATGAAAACGGCCATTTTTCACAATATGCTCATGGGGTAAAAGGTAAATTGTAAAATTGCAAGGAATTGTGGCAAAAAGTGAACATAATTTAACTTTCACCTGTTCACTCACCATATACCCTTGGATGATCATGATGTCACTTTAAAGATTCATGTGTAAACTTGGCGCATATATATATTTTCAGAAACATTCCAATGACCTTAGACTGGGTTTTATCATGAATGCTGCTGCACCAGGTACAGGTAAAGTTGATATCAACAAAGCTGTGTACGTGGCTGCAAACACCCTGTCTAATACACTCGGCAAAAATTTTATCACCAAACTTGTGAAGGAGGAGAATTTTGAGGCCCTACAGAGTGGAGATAAGACGCTGAATGATCTGGAAGTCAACGTTAGTATCTCCTTTCATTGTAATGTTAGATTGTTTTTTTGGAAGAAAAGGTCTAGCTATTACATTTTCTGTGAGGTTGTTGTTGTTGTCATCATTGTTGTCGTGCATACTAAGTAACTTATTATTCAAACATTTTTAAAGTTGTCAACATGAAACTTAGAATTCTTGCTAATCATGACAAGGTGCAGTTGTTAGACTAGGGCATAATTCTAAAAACAATATTTTTGGAGGGAAACCCCTTACTAACTTAAATTTTTTAACCGACCAGCTTTAATACTGCATGGCATGCTCCTGTTTTTATGAAGTAATGGATAAGATTTTAAAATAGAAAATCTTGTTTACCTTTCATTGCTTTGAAAGCATATTGTTTACATTTGTATAAACTTTTTTATAAAGTGCTTTATTAATGGTGTATTATAAATTTGGTACAGTTTAAAGGGATAGGCATACAATTTATATAATGTTCTATGACAAATTAAAAAATTATTGATTTTTCTTAAAATACAGCCTGGACAAACTGTATCAATTTGTAGACTTGTTAGGAACTATAGTGATGGTATTTGCCATTGTCATTACTGTTGCAAATATTCTAAGGTATAATATTATTATATAATTATAAATTTACAGGGAATGGACATGAAAGCATATCTTGAAGCCTATGAGAAGCAGACTGGCGACTATTTGAAAGTACACAGACTGTTTGCAGAAAGAGTTTTAGAATTTGGTGCCAGTCAAAGAGGTCTTGTGACAAATGGACAGGTAAACATGAGTATTTGACTTTGACCTTCAGTTTAAAATTTATTTATGCGAAAATATACAGAAACTGATATTTTATACGAAAAGCACTTTCGTGATTTGAGAAATGAAATATCTACTTATCTAGACTCATTTTTCAAACCATTACCTGGTTGAATTTGTATTCGGAACTTGCTCTGCCATAGAAATCATAAGTAATTTCCTGGATTTTGTCTGCTTATAAGTTACAATTTATAAACAGAAATTGTATTGTATCAGTAGAAAGGCTAAATTCAGTAACTGAAAGCACATAATAATACTGTAAAAGGTTACATGAAAATTTTTAAAATAAGACTGACCTAGCATAATGCAGGATTGATTTGAAATATTCATAATAAAAACAAAATAATTATATTCACAACTTAAATTACATTTGATAAAATATTAAAGCCAAGTTATAATGTAGCAGATGAGTTGCACCATATATGAATATAAATAAATATCTAGAGATTACAAGAGATTACAATGCATCGTTTTTTGTTGTTGTTTTTTCTTGCTAATGAAAATAGTTTTTATAGGTTCTTGGACCTCTGGGTGATACAGAAGAGTTTATTAATGAAGACGTAGATTTACTAGAATTGTTTGTCAAACAGAAATCAGCCAAGAAGATTAAAACCACGCTGAAGGGAATGAAATTTACCGGGCAAAAGTTAGTATTTGCTATTAAATTGCCTGAATATTTTTTCTGTAAATGATTATTCTGCTGTATTATGTATTGGACTTACCCTGCTTTTGAATTTTAAAGCAAAAGTTCTTCAACGTAACATGTTTTGTGAACCATAAAGTCTGCTTTAGCTTCTGTTTATCATGCCCCTTTCTATATATCTAGAGGCAGCGATTTACTGATGAAGGTTGGTGGTCTTTTAGCATCAATGGAGAAAAGTAGGGCAAGAAAGAAGGTCAATTATGGAGGAGACCAACATAGGTAATTATTTATCATTTAGATTTCTTACAGGGCCCACCCTTAACCTGTCTCTCTTTTGATCATTTGTAGTGTATGGGATTTCATTGTGAAAAATTAAGTTATCAATAGTAATAAGCCTGGTCAGACTATCATGAAGTGTGTGTATTTGAGTTTATATATACTTGCCACCGGTTGCCCACATGGGCGAGTCCTCCAGAAGCATATTAGTCATTTTAGATTTTGGAGGATAGTGCAAGGTACAGATACAGAAAGATGACCCAATTCCAGAAGCTTCTCCTGGTTCTTTAGCATGCCAAGTTTTTAAGCATTCATACCTGTAGGGCTGCAACAATACACCAGTTCAAATTAATTTCGATTTTAGACACCCCGATCCATTTTTTTGCTGCTAAATCATTGGCAGGTTCAGCGGGTTCAAGGTCAATTTTTTAAAGTCTAGAAGAAATTAGTGAATGTTAAAAGTTATATATATATAGATAATGCATCATTTATGATTGATTTGCCACATAAAAAAGTACTAAAATTATTGTAATGATTTATGTGTGAAGTAGATTTTTTATTTTATAAAACAGTGTGGTAAAGATACCAGGTAATTCCGAGACCCCAGCATTCCAGATCGAGGCTATAATTGACCCAGTGTCTGCTGCTGCCCAGAAACTCGCACCTATCCTGATGGTACTGAAGGACTTGTATAACCTTGACATTAAGATCTATATGAACAGCAAGGATAAATTGTCAGAGATGCCATTGAAGAGGTATGTAATTATATCATCATGTTGGTGCTGTAACGGGTTAAGTTCCTCAAAATTAAATAGCAGTAAACCAGTTATTGCACTAAGGTTTTTGAAAGTTTTTAAATACTATTAAGTATTAAAAATGATCTTAATAGTCTAAAATTATATCATATATTCTGCAGTAAACATTTTTAGCTCACCTGTCACAAAGTGACAGAGTGAGCTTTTGTGATCGCTTTTCGTCCGTCGTTCGTCTGTAAACTTTTACTTTAAATGACATCTCCTCATAAACCACTAAGCCAATTTCATCCAAACTTCACAGGAATGTTCCTTTGGTGGTCACCTTTAAAAATTGTTCAAAGAATTTAATTCCATGCAGAACTCTGGTTGCCATGGCAACCGAAAGAAAAAACTTTAAATATCTTCTTTTAAAAAATCCAAAGAGCTAGAGCTTAGATATTTGGCATGAAACATCTTCTAATAAGTGTCTACCAAGTTTGTTCAAATAAAAGCCCTGGGGTCAAAATTGGCCCTGCCCCAGGGGGTCATTGATTTTCCCTATATACAAAAAGTAAAAACTTAAAAATTCTTCTTTTAAAGAACCCATGGAGCTAGAGCTAAGATGTTTAGCATGAAACATCATCTAGTAAGTGTCTACCAAGTTTGTTCAAATAAAAGCCCTGGGGTCAAAATTGGCCCTGCCCCAGGGGGTCATTGATTTTCCTATATGCATATAGTAAAAAGTTAAAAAATCTTCTTTTAAAGAACCCATAGAGCTAGAGCTAAGATATTTAGCATGAAACATGTACTAATGGGTGTCTACAAAGTTCGTTCAAGTAAAAGCCCTGGGGTCAAAATTGGCCCCACCCCGGGGGTCATTGATTTTCCTTATATGTGTAAAGCAAAAACTTAAAAAATCTATTTTGAAAAAACCCAAATAGCTAGAGTTAAGATATTAAGCATGAAACATCTTCTAGTGAGTGTCTACAAAGTTTGTATAAATAAAAGCCCTGGGGTCAAAATTGGCCCCACCCTGGGGGTCATTGATTTTCCTTATATGTGTATGGCAAAAACTTAAAAATTTTCTTTGAAAAAACCCAAATAGCTAGAGTTAAGATATTAAGCATGAAACATCTTCTAGTAAGTTTCTACAAAGTTTGTTCAAATAACAGCCCTGGGGCTAAAACTGGCCCTGCCCCAGAGGTGTCATTGTTTTTAACTAAAGTGTATAGTAAACACTTAAAAATTCTTCTTTTAAAAAACCCAATGAGCTAGAGGTTAGATTGCAGGAAACATCTTATCTACCAAGTTTGTTCAAATAAAAGCCCTTGGGTTAAAATTGGTCCTGCCAAGGGGGGGGGGGGGGGGATGTCATTGTTTTTCATTATACGGGTGTAGTAAAAACCTTAACATCTCGAAACATCTCTTAATGAGTGTCTTCTAAGTGTGTTCAAATAAAAGCCCTGGGGTTTAAACTAGCCCCGCTCCCGGGGCCTAAATACAGGTGAGCGACCTCAGGGCCATGATGGCCCTCTTGTTTAACAATCCTAAAGCTATTAGACTTCGGAAGTTTTAAAGCATTTGTTCAATTTACATGATAAGCTAAAAAATTACTTGCTAAATTTTATAAATGAATTACAAGTACATACATGGTACCTTTTGGGAGTACTCTTAACTCAAAGATATTCAATGTAATGTATTTCGTTTATATCAGGTATTACAGATATGTCCTTAATCCAGAACTTAAATTCAAAGCTGATGGGAGTCTTACATCAGGACCCATCGCCAAGTTTACCGACCTCCCTAACAAGTCAATCCTGACCCTGGGGATGGAGCCTCCGGAGAGCTGGCTCGTACAAGCCGTGTCGGCTCAGTATGATCTGGATAATATATTGCTGGAGGAAGTGAAAGGGGGCGTCAATGCTGACTTCGATCTCGAATCTCTACTACTGGAAGGTGCAAGATTTATTCATATACAAAGATATGAGGCGCATCATGACAAAACCAACATAATGTGTTTGCGACCAGCATGGATCCAGACCAGCCTGCACCTCCGTGCAGTCTGATCAGGATCCATGCTGTTCGCTTACAGACCCTACAAAAAGTAAAGAACATCCTGGATCCTAATCAGACTGAGTGGAAGCCCAGGCTGGTCTGGATCCATGCTGGTCGCAAACCCATTATGTTGGTTTTGTCATGACTCAGCACATATCATGTCGTTTTTGGTACTTGAAAGTTGTTACATAATGATGTAAATTTTTTGTCAAAATAAAAATTGAATTTTCTCCTTTCTTTTTTTTGTATGAAAGTAATCAAGATTTTTTAAATAATTTTACCTCCCATAATATCCATTGTTAAAATTTTCAGCATCCATTATATTGTTAGATTTTCAGTTGAAATGGTTCCAAATGTAGATAGCAAACAGTCACCATTTCAAAATATTTTCTGTGTTAACCAAAATGTTATTTCTTGCTATTTTAGGGCATTGTTATGATGCAAACTCAGGCCAGCCACCTAGAGGTTTACAGTTTGTGCTTGGCTCTAATTCTTCCGATCTACTACAAGATACAATTGTCATGGCAAACTTGGTATGTCTGTAGTTGTTTTTTTTTTCTTGAATTACATCATTAATTTTTTACCTCTGTTTATGAGAAAAAGTCAAGCTATTGTTATCACTGCCTCATCGTTGTTGTTGTTATCATGCAAAAACTTTAATGTAGGTCATTTCTCAAATTTTGAAGGTATCTGGAAATACAGGTGTTCAATACATTAAATCATTATTTCTAATACTTATTTTGTTTTAATAAATATTTTATTTTTATGACATATCATATGGCAACTGAAAATTTTTGTCATATGCAGCTATTTAATGTTAGAGTGTGAAATGGTGAAATGAGGAAATTACAAAAATGTAACCAGATAGTATCCCATTTAATAAATGAAACATAAACAAGTCAGTCTCCATGTAGGTAATATATAAGACATACTTTTTATGAATAATTTTATGTAATACATATTGAGAAATCATGTATTAAAGGGCTATTTTCAACTGAAAGCCACACCAGGAGCATGGACACTTAACCTCAGAAAAGGGCGATCATCAGAACTATTTGATATTTCAAGGTAACCTTGATAACAAACTTTTTTAACCTGTCCATCAATATAGTTGTAGAATTTACTTGCCCTAGTTTTTATACGGAACAATCCTTTGTTATTTCATAAAGTGTATATAAAAAAATAAGAAAAGATGACTTCATGAAGCCAATAGTTTAGAGTTGGATTATATTCCTATGCCGTCACACATTTTGTTTTGAATTATTCTTGTTCTCCTAAGTAAAGTTAAAGCTTATAAATAATATGACCTAATATGATATGAGCCGTGTCATGACAAAACCAACATAATGGGTTTTCGACCAACATAGATCCAGACCAGCCTGCGCATCAGCGCAGTCAGATCAGGATCTATGCTGTTCGCTATCAGTTTCTCTACTTGTTATAGAGTTTGTGAGTGAACAGCATGGATCCTGATCAGACTGCGCAGATTGCAAACCCATAATGTTGGTTTTGTTGTGACGTGGCTCATATGTATTCAAATGTCAAATTCAACCGTGAAAAGTATATACAATAAAAAATTTGGATTTCCTTTATTCCATGAAGTTAATGTTAGCATAAGGTGTTTATTTATTTCAGTCATGAATATACAGATACTCCAGCCGGTATGAAAGATGTTATAGTTGTTATAAATGACTTCAAATCTAAAACTATACGAGTGAAGGTAGGTCTCTATGCCTTAATTATTTGTTAACAAGTACTTGATTGTTTTTTCAACCTCAACACTGTTGTATTTATATAAGAGACTTGCCCTGCTTTAAAGTGATATTAGGGAGACTATTGTACTCCCCAGGCATTTGTGTCTGTGTATAACAATGGTTAAGTTTTTGCCCGCAAGTTAGTATCTTAAAAACTACTGAAGGGAATGGGTTGAAACTTTACACACTTATTTGAGAGCAAAATAAGAAGGCAATATTCAACACCCATACCTTGAGCATGGATTTTGACAAGAATTATGGCCCTTTTACAACTTAAAAATTCTACATTATCCAGGCTTTTGTTTTACTATCAAGCCCTTGACAGCTTTTGTTTTCTTTTCCAGTTGACTAAGTCACTTGACATACAGGATTTATCTTTTGTCAGTAGTTTAAATGTAAATGAATGTGTTCATATGATGAATTGTAAACCATTGTTTGAAATATTTTGTTACAAATGAGCTGTGTCACAACAAAACCAACATAGTGCGTTTGCCACCAGCATGGATCCTGACCAGCCTGCGCATCCGCGCAGTCTGATCAGAATCCATGCTGTTCACTATCAGTTTCTCTACTTGTAATAGGGTTGGTAACCAAATAGTATGGATCGTGATCAGACTGCCCGGATACGAAGGCTGGTCTGGATCCATGCTGGTCACAAACCCATTATGTTGGTTTTGTTGTGATGCAGGTCAAATATTTTGTTACATATATTCAGGTTAGTAAGAAGCCAGGTATGGAGAAAGAGAAGTTGTTAGATGATAGCAAGGAAGATAATGCTGGTATATGGAATACCATCTCCAGGTAAATATCTTACATATCATAATAATGACATAGACTGATTGTATGATATCAAACCTTATATACTGCTGAATTTAGATACAAAAACTTGTCTGTCTTTAATTTAACAGTCCATTTTGGTTTCACATGTAAATTATGTAGATTACAATGTAGGAACTGATTAGATCGTGCTGAAGAGCACACTTGCCTGATATTTTTAGCTCACCTGTCACAAAGTGACAGGGTGAGCTTTTGTGATCACTTTTCGTCCGGCGTCCTTCCGTCGTCCGTCCGTCGTCCGTCCGTAAACTTTTGCTTTAAATTACATCTCCTCATAAACCACTGAGCCAATTTCCTCCAAACTTCACAGGAATGTTCCTTTGGTGGTCACCTTTAAAAATTGTTCAGAGAATTTAATTCCATGCAGAACTCTGGTTGCCATGGCAACCGAAAGAAAAATCTTTAAATATCATCTTTTAAACAACTCTAAGAGCTAGAGCTTAGATATTTGGCATGAAACATCTTCTAGTGAGTGTCTACCAAGTTTGTTAAAAAAAAAGCCCTGGGGTCAAAATTGGCCCCGCCCCAGGGGGTCATTGATTTTCCCTATATGCATATGGTAAAAACTTAAAAAATCTTCTTTTAAAGAACCCAAAGAGCTAGAGCTAACATATTTGGCATGAAACATCTTCTAGTGAGTGTCTACCAAGTTTGTTCAAATAAAAGCCCTGGGGTCAAAATTGGCCCTGCCCCAGGGGGTCATAGATTTTCCCTATATGCATATAGTAAAAAGTTAAAAAATCTTCTTTTGAAGAACCCAAATAGCTAGAGCTAAGATATTTGGCATGAAACATCTTCTAGTGAGTGTCTACCAAGTTTGTTCAAATAAAAGCCCTGGGGTCAAAATTGGCCCCGCCCTGGGGGGTCATTGATTTTCCCTATATGCATATAGTAAAAACTTAAAAAATCTTCTTTTAAAGAACCGTAAGAGCTAGAACTTAGAATTTTGGCATGAAACATCTTCTAGTGAATGTCTACCAAGTTTGTTCAAATAAAAGCCCTGAGGTCAAAATTGGCCCTGCCCCAGGGGGTCATAGATTTTCCATATATGCATATAGTAAAAACTTAAAAAATCTTCTTTTAAAGAACTCAAAGAGCTAGAGCTAAGATATATGGCATGAAACATCTTCTAGTGAGTGTCTACCAAGTTTGTTCAAATAAAAGCCCTGGGGTCAAAATTGGCCCCGCACCGGGGGGTCATTGATTTTCCCTATATGCATATAGTAAAAAATTAAAAAATCTTCTTTTAAAGAACCCAAAGAGCTAGAGCTAAGATATTTGGCATGAAACATCTTCTAGTGAGTGTCTACCAAGTTTGTTCAAATAAAAGCCCTGGGGTCAAAATTGGCCCCGCCCCGGGGGTCATTGATTTTCCCTACATGCATATAGTAAAAACTTAAAAATCTTCTTTTAAAGAACCGTAAGAGCTAGAGCTTAGATATTTGGCATGAAACATCTTCTAGTGAATGTCTACCAAGTTTGTTCAAATAAAAGCCCTGGGGTCAAATTTGGCTCCGCCCCGGGGGGTCATTGATTTTCCCTATATGCATATAGTAAAAACTTAAAAAATCTTCTTTTAAAGAACCCAAATAGCTAGAGCTAAGACATTTAGCATGAAACATCTTCTAATGAGTGTCTACCAAGTTTGTTCAAATAAAAGCCCTGAGGTCAAAATTGGCCCTGCCCCAGGGGGTCATAGATTTTCCCTATATGCATATAGTAAAAACTTAAAGAATCTTCTTTTAAAGAACCCAAAGAGCTAGAGCTAAGATATTTGGCATGAAACATCTTCTAGTAAGTGTCTACCAAGTTTGTTCAAATAAAAGCCCTGGGGTCAAAATTGGCCCCGCCCCGGGGGGTCATTGATTTTCCCTATATGCATATAGTAAAAAATTAAAGAATCTTCTTTTAAAGAACCATAAGAGCTAGAGCTTAGATATTTGGCATGAAACATCTTCTAGTGAATGTCTACCAAGTTTGTTCAAATAAAAGCCCTGGGGTCAAAATTGGCCCCGCCCCAGGGGGTCATTGATTTTCCCTATATGCATATAGTAAAAACTTAAAAAATCTTCTTTTAAAGAACAGTAAGAGCTAGAGCTTAGATATTTGGCATGAAACATCTTCTAGTGAATGTCTACAAAGTTTGTTCAAATAAAAGCCCTGGGGTCAAAATTGGCCCCGCCCCAGGGGGTCGTTGATTTTCCATATATGCATATAGTAAAAACTTAAAAAATCTTCTTTTAAAGAACCCAAAGAGTAAGAGCTTAGATATTTAGCATGAAACATCTTCTAATGAGTGTCTACCAAGTTTGTTCAAATAAAAGCCCTGGGGTCAAAATTGGCCCCGCCCCAGGGGGTCGTTGATTTTCCATATATGCATATAGTAAAAACTTAAAGAATCTTCTTTTAAAGAACCCAAAGAGTAAGAGCTAAGATATTTAGCATGAAACATCTTCTAATGAGTGTCTACCAAGTTTGTTCAAATAAAAGCCCTGGGGTCAAAATTGGCCCCGCCCCAGGGGGTCATTGATTTTCCCTATAGGCATATAGGTAAAACTTAAAAAAATCTTCTTTTAAAGAACTCAAAGAGCTAGAGCTAAGATATTAAGCATGAAACATGTTCTAATGGGTGTCTACCAAGTATGTTCAAATAAAAGCCCTGGGGTCAAAACTGGCCCCGCCCCGGGGGTCATTGATTTTCCTTATATGTATATAGCAAAAACTTAAAAATCTTCTTTGAAAAAACCCATTGAGCTAGAACTTAGATGTTTAGCATGAAACATCTTCTTATGGGTGTCTACCAAGTCTGTTCAAATAAACAAATAAAAGCCCTTGGGTAAAAATTGGCCCGAGGGAGGGGCTATATACAGGTGAGCGACCTCAGGGCCATCATGGCCCTCTTGTATTATTAATATACATGTATGTCTGTAATTAAATGAACAGATTTGCACTCTCTGACACTGATGTTGTATCAGTAATATACATTTAGGTCTATAATTATTGCCATGTTCTGACTAGTTGATGATCATATGAGGATGATTACAAGAAATTAATGCAATTTTTGACATTGTTTGAAGTCTTTAAATTAAACAAGTTTATAATTTATTTTTTGATGAGATATTTATTTGTTCATTCATTACTTGATGCATATAATCATACAAGCTTATTTTGTCTGTTTATTTCAGCTCATTTTCAGGGACTGACAATGCAGCAGAAGATAGTGATAAAACTTTGAACATATTTTCTGTTGCTTCAGGTCATTTATATGAAAGATTATTAAGGTGAGTTTCTTCTTTCTCTGGGTCTTAGAAAATCTTTGAACATTGTTATTTCATATAAGATTTATTGTATATATTTAATCTCCGCAATGTACATCAGGTTCATATTTTTGAAATTGACGTTATTTTCTTAATTATAGTTAGATCTTAAGCTTATAAAAATGGTTGTTTCTACAATGTTGCCAACTTGTGCTTAAAATAAGTTCAGAAAGTGGCCCTTAGGATTTCCTGCACCATACAAGGCAAAGGAAAGTTGCCATGTGACATTAACATTATCAATGAGACTCTTCCTCTAGATACTTGAGTATTAATTGTTTTAGTTTAAACATATTTATTTTGGCTCAATTGCAAAACAAGTTCTTGCAACTTATATTACTCACTTAGGGGTTCGCTTCCTGTTACTAACTTTACTAACCAGTACTGGTGTCGTATGTGCAAATATGGTTGTGACCTGAGTAGGGCTCAATCTTATGATCCCTAGGTTGAGAGGCAGGCACCATAACCATTAAGACACCTCTCACCTGCACTTAAAGCATTAAATTTCCTTTCTTAAACATACTGTATTTTATATTTCAGAATTATGATGATGGGTGTACTAAAACATACAAAATCTAAAGTAAAGTTTTGGTTTTTAAAGAATTATTTGTCTCCAGTATTTAAGGTAAGATTGTTATTAAAATATTTAAAACCTTACCTTAAGTTATACTTGTTCAGTATATCAAGACAATGATACATGTCATTATATTGCCACCCCTTGGATAAAAAATCAAGTTGTTATTTGTCAGGCAAAAATAGAAAATGGAAAAAATATCTTTTAGTTTTTAACATTCTGAAAAAAGAAATGACTAACTTTTACCTCATATTAAAATGAGTCTTACTGATATAGAATTTTGTAACCATGTAAAGTATTTTAGCCTTTGTTTGCTCTCACAGGTAGCTGTTGACTTACAATAGTGTAACTTAATCTTCATATCATTTGCTGCCAGGATAGAGCTTTTATTTTTATTTATTTATTTTTTCATTTAAATCGAGTCTGGTGCTCAGAATTGTTTTTTGAATGCTTTTGTATAGAAACTGGACTTATTCATTCAGGAGTTAGAGCAGATTTGACAAGTCAACATAAAGGTGAAAAGAATGAATGAATGAATTAATGTAGGAATGAAGGAACTAACCAAGAACGCAAACAAACAAATGAATGAATGAATGAATTAGGGTGTAAAAAGGAAAGGAATACAGAAAGAACCAAACAAGCAAGCTTTACTTTCAGGTGTTTCATCCAGTAATTCTTTTGTCTTGCAGGATTTTATTCCCCATTATGCAAAGGAGTATGGTTTTGAATATGAACTAGTAGAATACAAGTGGCCAAAATGGTTAAACCAACAGAAGGAGAAACAGAGAATTATCTGGGGTTATAAAATATTGTTCCTTGATGTGCTGTTCCCTCTACATGTGAAAAAAATCATTTTTGTTGACGCTGATCAGGTGAGGGAACTTTCTTACATTAATTATAATGATGTGATATGCTACTAATACATGAATCAAGTTAATATTTCCTCTGGAGGAAAATTTGCTATGTTTTGAGTACTTTGTAAGTAACGGAAGACAACTTATCAGTTTTTTCTTTCTATTATTTAAAGTGACATAATGCCCATTCAAGGGTATATATTGAGTGAACAGGTAAAAGTCAAAATAAGTTGTCATTTTCCCATAATTCCTTTCAATTTTATCATTTACTTCAAGTGAACAATAAATAACTCACATGGCCTAAGGAAATTTCTTCAAATATCCATTTGAAATTACCTGGAATGTTTAATTTATAGAAAGGATAGGGCAGTCTTTTATATTCTAGGGCAAATTAATGTTTTATCTTTAACATTTTTCAGTATCAACTGTTGGTCGATCACCAGTATAATAGTCAATTTTGTGAAATATATAGTAAATTTAGCTCAATTTGACAATGTAAATATGTGCATAATGTCACTTTAATGTAAAATCTATGCAAATCAGAATATGTCACTAAAAACTGTTGTTGTTTTTTTTTCAATGAATGGGTAATATTAATATTCAATTAATTGTTTGGTGGTGTTGGTAGTTTCCACTTTGGATCACGGCAGTAAGCCACATTGAATTTACCAGAGTACAGTACAACCACCGCATCGTTCCTGGGCAGGCTGTCAAGCAGTTTACCAGTACTAGTTGTCTTCACTTTTGCAAGGAACTGAAACTTCTGTACATGCTAAAGCAGAGGTTCAGTGGGAATGACTTGTGTCAAACAATACTTTAACATTGATTTAATATTTTCAGATTGTTAGATCAGATTTACAAGAGTTATACGACCTTGACCTAGGTGGAGCCCCGTATGGTTATACACCTTTCTGTAGTGATAGGACAGAAATGGATGGTTTTAGGTATGACTATGTTATATATAGACATCATTTTTAGCTTTCTTGGCTCTAAATGTAAGAAAAAATCAAAACAGTTCCAAATGTAATTTATGAAAAATGGGTCTTTGCCACTTAATTAGCAATGCAATGTTTGCAATTGACAGACAGTAAAGTTTAAAAGATTAAAGTATTCCATTTTAAATGAAAATATTTTTAAAAAAATATCAACAACAGAACTAATGCAAACTGCTAAGGGTTGGGAATTTCAGTTTCTAAATTGGCAAAAAAGCATATGTTTTGGCTTTGGGAATGCCAATATATAAGGGAAAAAAGCCTGTCTAGACTTGAATTAAAACATGCTGATAAGTTTTGTCTGGTAGATATATTGGAAATAAGGTCACATGGTAAAGATGTGTGCCGCTTAACCCACAGATTGTGAGGTTCAAGCCAGTGTGAATGACAACCAGTTCTGTCATTTCATAACAGTTCCATTTAATTCAAGAAAGTGGAGAAGTAATCAGATTTGAATAAGTTTTTAGCTTTTGCGATAATTATGCTTAGGTATGTTTAAACACAGTATTTCAAGCTATCATGTATATAATATTTTGTTGTATTTCAGATTTTGGAAGTCTGGTTACTGGGCTAACCATTTAGCTGGAAGAAAGTATCATATTAGGTAAGTGTATGTGCTTAACAATACAGATTACTGTTAGGTAACCAACAGCCTAGTGGTTAACATATCTGCTATTTGACCCAGACATCATTGGTTCAACACCTCAGTGTCTCAAAACAACTAAAGCAGTAGCAAAAATGGCTTAAAAACTGTATGTGAAATTATGTACAGCTTGGCCCATGAGTCTTCTTTCTGTTAAATCAGGAAGTCCACCTTTTGAGCTTAAAGTTTAATTATCCTAGGAGCTTTTGTGATAATTACTAATGTACATGATTTTGAATATCATTGGCATTATGATTTATATTAAGAGAGGAAACTTTCCAACAAACTTTATTTCCAATATTGCTCATTTTTATGCTCCCCGAAAAATTTCGGGGGAGCATATAGTCGCCGCCTTGTCCGTCTGTCCGTCCGTCCGTCCGTCCCCTTTTCTTGTCCGGGACATAACTTTGAAACAACAAGAGGTATCAACATGAAACTTTGTAGGTAGATAGATCTCATTGAGTAGGTGTGCAGTGCACAAGAACCGTAACTCTGCCTTGCCTAATTTTTGAATTATTCCCCTTTGTTTATTTATACACTTTGAAGTTTGTCCGGGACATAACTCTAAAAGTATAAGAGGTATCAACATGAAACTTTGTAGGTAGATAGATCTCATTGAGTAGGTGTGCAGTGCACAAGAACCTTAACTCTGCCTTGCCTAATTTTTGAATTATCCCCCTTTGTTTATTTTACACTTTGAAGTTTGTCCGGGACATAACTCTAAAAGTATAAGAGGTATCAACATGAAACTTTGTAGGTAGATAGAGCTCATTGAGTAGGTGTGCAGTGCACAAGAACCGTAACTCTGCCTTGCCTAATTTTTGAATTATTCCCCTTTGTTTATTTTACACTTTGAAATTTGTCCGGGACATAACTTTGAAACAACAAGAGGTATCAACATGAAACTTTGAAAGTAGATAGATCTCATTGAGTAGGTGTGCAGTGCACAAGAACCGTAACTCTGCCTTGCCTAATTTTTGAATTATCCCCCTTTGTTTATTTAACACTTTGAACTTTGTCCAGGACATAACTCTAAAACTATAATAGGTATCAACATGAAACTTTGTAGGTAGATAGATCTCATTGAGTCGGTGTGCAGTGAACAAGAACCTTAACTCTGCATTGCCTAATTTTTTAATTATCCCCCTTTGTTTATTTTTACACATTGAACTTTGTCTGGGACTTAACTCTAAATGTATAAGAGATATCAACATGAAACTTTGTAGGTAGATAGATCTCATTGAGTAAGTTTGCAGTGCACAAGAACTGTAACACTGTCTTGCCTACTTTTGGAGTTATTGCCCTTTGTTCATTTTGACACTTTGAACTTTGTCCGGGACATTACTCTAAAATTATAAGAGATATCAACATGAAACTTTGTAGATAGATAGGTCTCATTGGGTGGAAGTGCAGTGCTTAAGAATCATTACTCTGCCTTGCCTTGTTTTGAAGTAATTGCCCTTTGTTTATTTTTACTTCTTGACTTTTGTCCGTGACATAACTTTAAAACTATTAGAGTTATCAACATAAAACTTTGTAGGTAGCTAGATATAATTGGATAGAACTGCAATGCTTAAAGAACCTAAACAAAGCCTGGTCTAATTTTTGAGTTATTGCCCTTTGTTCATTTTTACACTTTGAATTTTACCCGGGACATAACTCTGATATCATCAGGAAACTTCATAGATAGATAGATCTCATTGAATAGAAGTGCAGTGCAAAAAAACATAACTCGGCTTTGCCTAATTTTGGAGTTTTTTGCCCTTTGTTCATTTTTTTTATACTTTCCTGTGTCCAGAAGGTTCTTGTTTCTTTTGTTTGAAACAAATCATTGGAACATATTAGTTTTTTCATGTATTACAAAGTTTATAATATCTAGGTTACCAACAAAGGAAGGATATGAATTAAGAATGGCCTATCAGTTAAAGTTAAATACAATTTCTTTCATTTGTTCTGTTACAGTGCCTTATATGTGATAGATTTAAAACGATTCCGGCAGATAGCAGCCGGGGACCGACTAAGAGGTCAATATCAGGGGTTAAGCCAGGATCCAAACAGTTTATCAAATCTTGATCAAGATCTTCCAAACAATATGATACATCAGGTGGCTATAAAATCACTCCCTCAGGAATGGTTGTGGTGTGAAACTTGGTGCAGTGATGAATCTAAACAGTACGCTAAAACTATAGATCTGGTGAGTATATATACATACATAGTGGCATCTGTGGCCGAGTGGTTAAGGTCTTTGACTTTAAGCCCTGTGGGTTAGAATCACAACAAGGACTTTGAATTTTTTCATGTGAGGAAGTTATCCAACTAGCTTATGGAATATTAGTGGTTCTATTTAGGTGCGCATTTGTGTCTGAAATACATGTAATGTACGAAAGGGCTCTTGAGGCCTTCCTCCTTACGTAAAGCTGGAAAGTCACCATATGAACTTTACTGTGTTGGTGCAACATAAAACAAAACAAAAAAAAGAATTATTTATGCATACATCGTGCCTTTGGTCTCTCAGTTTAACCAGAGAAAGGTCAAATCCTTCTATAGCTGTTAAAAATCTTTCATTTTAGCATACTACCTACCTAGTTTATGGTCATGCTTGTGTTAATGGTAATGCACAAAGATGTATTGTGTGTGACAAGTACATGTATATCTTAGTCTATTAATCCACCACAGCATACACAGCCTATAGCTGTATAGATTCATTGTATGAAAGCCTTAACATTACAATTTCCAAGCCACTAAGAGAGGTACAATTTATATAGCTTAATGTTTTGCTGAAACTCTAATGTTTTTGTGATACTTTTCCAAAGTGTTTAATTCTTCCATTTTTAGCTCGACTTTTCTATGAAAAGGGGAGCTATCCTACTCGCCCCGGCGTCGGCGTCACACCTTGGTTAAGTTTTTCGTACCACCCCACTTTATTTCAGAAGTATTACAAGTATGGCTTTGAAACTTACCATACTTGTTCACCATCATAACCTCCATCTACAGACAAGAGTACATAACTCTGTCAAGGTTTTTGACAGAATTATGGCCCTTTTTTGACTTAGAAAGTGTATTGAGCTTGGTTAAGTTTTTTGTACCACCTCACTTTATTTCAAAACCATTGGAGGTATTGCTTTGAAACTGACCATACTTGTTTACCATCACGACCTTCATCAACAGACAAGAGGACATAACTCTGTCAAGGTTTTTGACAGAATTATGCCCCTTTTTTGACTTAGAAAATACATTGAATATGGGTAAAATCCACTTATTGCCTTAACCCTTGAGATATTGCTTTGAAACTTTTAATGCTATTTCACATCATTACCCCCATCTGTACGCAAGAGAAGGTAAACTCTGTCAAGGATTTTGTTTTAAAAAATTAAGGCCTTTTATCGACTTAGAATCTTGGTTAAGTTTTTAGTACCAGTCCACTTTTTGACTGAACTGTTTGAGATATTAATTTGAAAGTTGGAATACTTGTTTACAATCATGATTCCCAAACATGTCCAGGAGAAGGTAATTCTGTCAAAGATTTTATTTGAATTATGGCCCTTAACTGTCAATGTTTTGTATTATAGGCAAGCACTAAAAAACTTAAAAAATCTAAAAAAATTCATTCCTATCCACTTGTTCACTTTACCATAAATTATGTCATAATAAAATAATTCTTCACTAAATATCTTAATGCTCATGGCCATTGTTCACTTTAAAAATACAGAGATTCTTGTATTGCCTTTTACTGCAAAAACTTTTTTTATTGGCAAGCAATAAAAAAGTCGAGCGCGCTGTCTTACGGACAGCTCTTGTTCATTTTATTTGTGATTTTAATGTTTTATTTTACTAAACATTTCCCTTTATTTGAGAAGATATTCATTTATAATATAAGGGCCATCATATAAGTGCCTTGATCAGGGACTTTTTAGCTCACCTGTCACTTTGTGACAGGGTGAGCTTTTGAGATCACTTTTCGTCCGGCGTCCGGCCGTCCGCCGTCCGTAAACTTTTACTTTAAATAACATCTCCTCATAAACCACTAAGCCAATTTCATCCAAACTTCACAGGAATGTTCCTTTGGTGGTCACCTTTGAAAATTGTTCAAAGAATTTAATTCCATGCAGAAATCTGGTTGCCATGGCAACCAAAAGAAAAAACTTAAAATATCTTCTTCTAAAAAACCCAAAGAGCTAGAACTTAGATATTTGGCATGAAACATCTTCTAGTGAGTGTCTACCAAGTTTGTTCAAATAAAAGCCCTAGGGTCAAAATTGGTCGCCCCCCGGGCTCATTGATTTTCCCTATATGTATATAGTTAAAACTTAAAAAATCATCTTTTAAAGAACCTAAAACGATAGAACTAAGATATTCAGCATGAAACATCTTTTAATGGGTGTCTACCAAGTTTGTTCAAATAAAAGCCCTGGGGTCAAAATTGGCCGAGCCCCAGGGGGTCATTGATTTTTCCTATATGCATATAGTAAAAACTTAAAAATCTTCTTTTAAAGAACCCAAAGAGCTAGAGCTAAGATATTTAGCATGAAACATGCTCTAACAGATGTCTACCAAGTTTGTGCAAATAAGGGCTCTGGGGTCAAAATTGGCCCCGCCCTAGGGGGTCATTGATTTTCCCTATATGAATATAGTAAAAACTTAAAAATCTTCTTTTAAAGAACCCAAAGAGCTAGAGCTACGATATTTAGCATGAAACATGTTCTCATGGATGTCTACCAAGTTTGTTCAAATAAGAGCCCTGGGGTCAAAATTGGCCCCGCCCCGAGGGACATTGATTTTCCTTATATGTGTATATTAAAATCTTAAAAATCTTCTTCGAAAAAAACCTGAATAGCTAGAGTTTAGATATTAAGCATGAAACATCTTCTAGTAAGTGTCTACAAAGATTGTTCAAATAAAAGCCCTGGGGTCAAAACTGGCCTTGCCCCAGGGGTGTCATTGTTTTTAAATATATGTGTAAAGAAAAAACTTAAAAAACTTCTTTTAAAAAACCCAACGAGCTAGACCTTAGATGTTTAGCATGAACCATCTTCTAATGAGTGTCTACCAAGTTTGTTCAAATAAAAGCCCTGGGGTTTAAACTGGCCCCACTCCGGGGGGCCTATATACAGGTGAGCGACTTCAGGGCCATCATGGCCCTCTTGTTTTCAGCTCTCTTGGATTTTGCTTTGTCAAAGTGCACTAGTTGCCCCTGCAGGCTCAACGGCCGTCGGCACAGAAAAAAAATACTTGAATATATTCTAAACTTTACTTAATTCTTATTTCAGTGTAATAATCCAATGACCAAAGAGCCAAAATTAAAAGCTGCCATGCGTATAGCTCCGGAATGGAAGTCCTATGATTATGAAATAAAAGTATTCTGGGATAGTGTATACGGCACAAATACTAGATCTCAAATAGAATACGAACCACCAGAGTTAAGTCCTGAAAAGAAAGGTAAGAGAAAACGAAAAGAAAACTTTAAAACATAAGATTATATATATATTCTTTATTATTATTACATTATGTTTTGCCTTAGTAAAGTTACTCTGGTAAAATTGGTAATTACTGGTAAGTTATCAAGGAAAGCCGGTCTGGTAGACCAACCGCTATGATATAACCAAAAATATTTTGAAATCGGTGTAAAAACGAGACAAACAAACAAAATAAGCAGAAGTATTTTTTTCGTCATTTGTCATGATCACATCTTTTGATATATGACCTTTTCACTGAGGAAGTCAATTTGGGTGTACCTATTAGAAATATATGTTTCATTTTCATGGAGTAAGTGGCCTTTAAGAAGTCAAATTTGGTGTACCAGTAAGAAAAAAGGAAATATTTGTTTAATTTACATGGAGAAAGTCTTTTTGAGTAAACTTGTACAAAATATATGTTTTATTTACAGAGAGGAAGTGTAGTTTAGTTGACCATTTAAGAAACATTTGTTTTATTTTTTTCAGAAGCCTGGAGGGACAGAATAGAGTTATAACAATGTGATTACATAGTGACATTTATTTATTTGACGCACTATTCCACACAGCGATGTATATTTATATCTATTCTACAATTGTCAAATGTTATGTTTCCATGGTGATATCACAATATTGAATATCATATAGGCTCAAATTTTCCATTTTCTCGTATGTTGTTTCGTCTGGATTGATGAACATGTATGCTCAAAGTTTACTTTTCACAAATTTGTTACTGAGTGAGATTTTTAAGTTTCATTAACTTTGTGTTTATTTTTAGAATCCTTATAAAACAGCATTTATTTGATCCTACAGTTCATTTCCAGATTTTATTTCTTGACCCCATTTGTGAAAAAGTGCCATTTTATATCATGAACCATTTTATGATTTGTTAGCTCTACAGGAAAGATAACTCTTAATTATATGATTATGTATTTGAGTATGAGTTACTTCTCTTTGACAGTTTCAGCAAGCCATGTTCATCACTAGTTTATATAGTTCAAACATTTTGTCCATAGAGCATTCCATGTTTTATTATTAAATAGACATTTCAGAGGGAGTGATATTTAAATGCTTTTCTATCAGAAATAGCTGATTTTGTCAAGGGGAACAACAAATATAGGAATTACTGTTTATTACAAACCAACAAATATACCTCTCTAAAATTGATTTATAATTTCTACATCATCAAATTAAATTTAAATATATGTACATGCAATGAGAAACAGAGTGCTTATAATTATCTTTACTATGTAAATATATGTACTTAAAAAAGGTTGCAAATTTACACAATTATCTGAGGAATAAAACAAATTAAACATGTAATTTGCATATTGATATGGGAAAGTTTTGGGATGTTTTTTTTAGATTTAAAGAAATTGTCATTACAAAGTAATTTTTCAACTAAAATATTTCAAATAGCTTATTTAAATTTTGGAGTAGGGGTCTGTAAAATATTTCGTTGGTAATAAATTGGTATTTTTAAAGAAAAAAGTACAAATATCAGTATTTTGGCCCCGTTATAATGTAGATGGATTGACCACCAAGATGTGACCAAAATGTGTTGACTTGGGTGTAAAAAAAATAACAACAATAATATATACAGATGAAAGTAAAATTTAACAGTCAACTGTGTAAGATCAAGCTAGCTTGTATATTTGTGCAGTCCATAGAGACTCTGTACTGTTTGCTTATAAACACAAAATCTACATTGTTATAATTGATAATGGGCAGTTCTAAACATGAAAGTTTGACAAATCTGTTTAGAAGTTGTTAAAAAATGAAATGTAGATTTCTAGTTATCTAAATGTAGTTACCAATATACATACGACAGCATTATAAATGTCTCCTTTTTTTGGTTTCATGTATGATACATTTTGCATTTTGTTTAATCTTACAAATTACAAACTTACTTTACCTTATAATCTACTTTTTATTGGTAAAAAAAATTTTTTGCTTATAATTTAGAATTTTATTGGTTTAAAAAACAAACAACCCTTTTCCTTTAAATTAACAGTTTATTTAACCCAAAAACCTTCTTTCTTTAAAACTAATGTTTTATTTAGCAAAACAAACTTAGTTTACCCGGTTAAATTAAAGTTTTAGGAAAAAAAGCTTAGCTATAATTTGGGGAAAAGTAAAATTTTTAAAAACAATTTTATAAAGAAACTTTTCAGCAGAAACAGAAATGAAAATGGAAAACTTACAAATTTTCTTTCATGCTATTCCATTCTATCATAATTATATGTTTAGTTGTTTGTTTTTTGTGTTTTTTGTTTCTCAAGAAGTAAGGGCTGTTTTTCTCCGTATTACAGATGTTATGTTCAAGTTATGTTTCTTTTTCTCTTAAAAATTGTTTGTGAGTCTCAAAATATATGGAGACATAAACAAACTTTTAATTCAACATTATAAAGATGGATAAGGGAGATTATTTTTATGTTCTATGAAAATTCAATACTTTGTAAAAAAAAAAAGATATTTGATTAAGTGATAAGAGATTTGTAATCTCCAGTTAGCTATCATAATTTTATCTTTTTAGGTTGTCATTTTGTTATTTAATGTGATTTAATCAATTATTCATAATATGACATTTAACTAATAAGAACATTTTTAATGATAATGTGTATTAAACACTTTAGTGTAAATCCCTGGTAGGCAGATGACCTGTTGACACTTCACATCACTTCACATCGGCATGACAGTGTCTCGATGCTCACCTGTCACCTCATAGCATCTATACGGTAAAAAAAAATACCATTTCTTTTCCTTAGAATTTTATTTTTTTTGAAGTGATTGATGGTAGTTGTGGGGAAATGTGAAAAGAAGAGATTTATTTTCACTTTCTTCTTTTTTTTTCTTTTTTTTTAGAAGATTTTCCTTTTACTTTTTCATTTATTTTGTTAGGTTCTTTATTTAACATGGGGTTAATGATCAGGTGCTATTTAAATATTAAGGACATCAGGGTCAAAGTTGAGCGGCTTAATTTGCGTGTATTATCGTAATAATGTTTAATCGCTCTCCTTAAATCCCGGCCAATATGTCCGAAGGGTTTTATTTTATCTGCTTAGTAGAGATGAGATGGCCAAGATAAAAAGGTTTATGAAATATTAAAATGTTGTTAAATCAGTGTCTTTTTTTAATAGTTTTTCATTTTTTAGTAGTCATAAGTTAAGTGGTTTAAGATATTTATTTTGTGATAAAAAATAATCATGGTATCACATGGTATCAGATTTCCCCCCTCCCCCTTCCCCCATACATTTTTTTTCAAGTACAGATTTTGATATTAAAATCATTGTGTGAATGTAGGGAGTATTAGGGCTTAAGGAAATGTTTAAAGGTTCGATCAATATCCATTATAGAGCCAGGCCAACCTGTATATCTGTCCTGTGTGACCCCAGGCTTTATACTGTAGCTGACCAACCTAAAATGTTTCATTTTGATACCCCAAAGTTGGTAATGAACAGTGGGACCAATCAACCAATCAAATAATTCAGCAGGCTAAAGGGTAAGTATATAGTAGAATTTTAAATCCTGCTTTGCTTTATATTAGAAGAGCCTTACTTGTTTTGAGGGATATGCCTTAGTTTTTTTCATATTTTTTTCTAAGAAATAGTACAAGATGTATTTATTTTGAGTTGGCATGCAATTCCAGGCATAGTTTGTGAAGTATAGTTTTCTTCAACTTTATTGTTGAGACATATATGAAGAAAAAATTTATGTATGTGTCATATGAAATTTGCATTTTAATTATGTTGAATTACCTACACGATGACTGACTGGTTCAGGAAATGAATGTAAATTTTAAAAATGAATCTTTTGTTTGACTGTAAGTGAATGTTCAGTCTTATGATGAAAATATGGTTCAAATTTATTGGCTTTCCATTGACTTATGTTGATATGATTGACTGTATGTTGAATATGTAAACTTTTGATTGACAGGCACTGTTTGTTGAACACACAGAATCATTTGTGACTATATGTTGAATATATGTAAGATTTTTGAATAACTGTTACATTAGATTCTGAATTAATATTTTACCAGTTTGAAAGATTGAATATTTTATTAAGGTTTGTAAATGTGGAATAACATACATATACATGTTGGCAGGAGATATTTCTGTCATATGACATACATAAATAAGTCATGTATATAAATAAGTATACCAGTACAATGTTGTACTTATAAACATCTATGAATGTATGCTTTAACTTGTGAAAAAATGAAAGATATGTGGAACAAAATCATGACAAAAAAAATACAAAACATAGAAACATTTGAATACAGAAACTGGTGCTTATAAATAGAAACGTTTTTTATAATTATTATGTTTTTCATTTTTTTTGTGTAAGACAGAAAGAAATAAATATTATGTGAAATACATGACGATTTTTTCTTGTACAGATTATGTATGTGATATCAATATCTTATTTCTGTTTTGACTTAGATTACCAAAATAATGTACCACAAAATGATTTGGGTACATTATGGTATTAAGTTTCCAAAATGATGCACACGATGGATTAAGGTGTATTAAGGTAATTAAAGTTCGTTAAAACGGAAGTGCATTTATATGGGTAATGAAAATGGTTAAGAAACTTAATATTTATCTTTTTGTTTCAAGACAGTTTTAATTCTTGATGTACTTAGATTAGTTTTCATCTTACTCAACAACTTTGTTCTTTTCCCTATGTTTTTATAAATTGAATTTGAGGTAAATAATCACAAAACAAATTATGAGTATCACTTTTACACCTGGACAATATCTGAATATGTTGAATAAATTCATAAACTTTTAAGATTTTGACACAGATGTGCACATATGAATAAATAATCTAAAACAAACATATCTAAATTTTCTGGGATGACATTTAAACAAACATACAAATATCAACATTTAAAACAAATCCTATAGTTTGCACAAGTTTCTTTTTTTGGTTAAAATAGCAGTTTTCTGGTACGTCTGGGTCATTTCTTAGACATAATTATTCTGCACTTTAATATATTTGATATATTGTAAAAAGGTTCATTTTTTTGACATTTGAAGGAAAAAACATTTCGTCAAAAAATAAAATGATATTCATCTTCAATATGTGTATGGCATAGTGTGCATAAACCGAACACATCTTCCTTGTAGATGTTTAGTACCTAAGCTTTACATAATGATTTGTTAAAAAAATTGAATAGTAAAAGATAAAAAGGTCATTTTATCAAATTTTGTATATATTTAAATTGATGTAAACGTGTAGAATGAATGCGCGTGTATTTTCTGAGACCAAAGTTGTTTATTAATGACATAATGTTAAATGTGATGATGGGAAAATAAAACATTGAAGAAAAAAACTAGATAAATATATGTTTCTTGTTAATTTTTATTTACGATTTTTGAAAAGAATACTGTATATGAAATGGAAAAAAATCATTTAGCCAGAATCTGCCATTAATGTTTAGCATGTAACTGTTTGCTACTTAATCTAATTATTATCTTGGTTTGAAATTAAGATAAAAGAAACAGAACCAGTGGAAAAACAATTAAAGCAGAATCATAATATGGAAATTTTTTAGGGATAAAATGCTAGCGGTGGTCTGTATGGATAGAAAGTTTAAGTCCCGGATTATCAACAGTGCGAGTGGCTGGGGATGAAGACTTTACCATATTTGCTTAAATAATTTATTTAAAGAAAAAAAGTTTCTGTGACATATATTATCATTTCTTTGGAAATTATTTAACTTCTTCGAAATTGTAACGAAATTTTATAAGTCTGTCACGTGTAGATAAAGCTGCTTTCTTCATTTTTTGTGAAATAAAATTTCTATATAAAAACGTCCACTCATTTCTTAAGCCACTTATTTCTTACTTAACATAGAAATTTTATTTCGCAAAAAATGAATACAGCAGCTTTATCTACACGTGACAGACTTATAAAATTTTGTTTCAAGGTAATTCTCATGCTTGAAGCACTTGGCGCACATGTGAAAACTTTAAAGGAGAAAAGTACTTTTGATAAGATGGGTTTGGAAAGTTAAGCTACATAGTTGAAATAATAGTGTTCTTCTTTGGCATTTCCCATATTTTAATGAGGTCCGCAAGTTTGCAAGATTGCCGCATAGTTAACCAAACCTCAATTTTGCAATGTTCTGCCTGTACGGCAAGATCCGCATAAATTACTAGGTTGTCTTTCGTCCATTAAGAATGCTAATAATTGTTAACACGTCCATTAAACTTTGTAAACACTTCTGACAAAATTTTCAACCTCAGGCCTCTAATTTCAATTATGTTTATTGGAAGGTCAATTTGTATGAATTACATGCTGAATTCAGAGGGGAACTTGCTCGGAAGAATTCCTTCTTGAAAGCTTTTCATTATTCAAATAATTGATACAATTTTCCCCGTCTTAAAATAGGCATGAAATTGACAACGTTTTGTTGGTTTTGTTGCTTCCTGTTAGCACTGTCAATTTCATTTACAGAAATTCCGTGCCGCGTATTTTTGATGACAGACGACCGTTGAAATGGACAATTCTTAGCTGTCAATCAAATTTGTTGCCATGTGACACTTTCTGGGGCTACCGAAGTCTTCCGATTGAAGAGCCTCGTTTTCGAAGTGCTTGAAATCTCGCGGGAGAATGCTGGTATCAGTGAAGTGGCTCTTGAGTACAAAAGACGCAGAAAAGGCTGATTTTAACAATGTATTTATGCGCGATTCCGTTTCAATTTGCTCCTATAGACCGCTAATAACCCTATTCATGGCATTCGTGAGTCGAAAAAGGGTTTTATTTCTTCGTGACAGAGACACGCTGTCTATGAAAGGCAGTTAACAATGGCTCATCAGCAACCCTTGTTAGACACAAAATGGGACAAAATAACCTCTTTGCTTCTACAGAATTCCTCTAATGAATCTTTAGAATTTTAAGACAGAAT